AAAAAAGTTGGTCAAGTGACATGTTTGGGGTCATGGCCATTTTTTGTGGGTCATGGCACCATCCCTCCAGGTGCCTGTAAATACCCAAATGGCTTACATGTTCGCCAAAAAATGGAAACACCAATCGAGCAAGCCAAAAACAATAATACTTTCTGCATAAGATAGACCATTACGGAACTTGTCGCACGTATGCTCCAACTTTTTGCGCCCTCTTCGAACCCAGGCTTCGGAAACTTCACAGTCCAGTGCGCAACTGTACAGCAAAGGTGTCTCTTCAAGCAGTTCACGTGCACACCTGCTGCGTGGCAACCTGTAGCCTGAGCTGGTAGACGGCATCACACATGCAGGGGTGTACAAATTAAACAGGGACTGGCATGCGTACAATATAATGCAGCTTTGGTTCCATGTTGCAAAGTCTTCGCACGAAGTCTTCGTCCGAGAAACAACCGTTCAACTTGGGATTCAATGGGAGGTCTCTGAGCATATTCATGTGAAGCCACGTGTGGCACCTAGATTGTTCATGCTTCATTCACCCTGGGCAAAAAACAAGGTTGCTTCAACTTCAAATATCTGACCAAAAAACGAAAAGAAAACCAACACAGCCCAATATATAACATCATAGATAGGAAGCACAACATATGCTGCCAAGTATCTTTGGCCGGATTTTGAACAATTTCTGGCCAGCAGTCGAGGCAGCAAATGCAAGCCACATATATCCAAGGAGGAAGTGGCGAGCATACTTTTCGGCCTTTGCGATTTTCTCTGGTGGGACCACGTATTCCGCCTCATCCATCAGGCGAATGCTTTTCGCCACAGCACGCACTGTCCTCAAGATGTTGGCAAGAAATATTGTTAAGACTGGCAAAAACCACGTCAACACAAAAAGCTTCTGCAAGAAAGGCTCATGTTAATAACCTCTGCGTACTCACCATCTGCCCATCCTTGAGTGCGACCCGGCACCACTTCAGCCTAGAGCGAATGATGTAGTTTGGGGTATAATTACCTCTACCATAAATATTAATATACATATTTGGAGATGTCAGGGGCAGACAGTAATCAACAAAAACGGAGAAACGAGCTGAATAAGAATGCCATGCAACTAACCATAGCAGCAGAAGCCGCACGTCCCAGCCCTTCGCGTTCAAACTCGGAAAGCGTCCTTCGTATGAAAACGTGAAGTCGTCCACCGACAAGGATGCACCTTGTGCACGACACCAGGACCGCGCAAGTTCGTGCGCCTCAGGGAGCAACTTCTGGCCGAAAACAAGTACCAGTGTGGACGCGACGAAGTCTGGGCCAACTCCACGGTACAGCACATGCAGGGTATCGAAGTGAATCAAGTGGCTGGAAAAGCCGCGAGCCCCCACTATCGCAGGAAGTTCAGCATCCGCTTCGCAAAGTGTCTCTGTGAAGTCCTAGCATATGCGAGGGTTTACTTCTTTGGGTATATACATGCATGAAAAAGGAAAAGAGTCATGCTAGTACCCATGCCCCGCTCAGCATCCGTGTGACTTTCTCTGCCAGCAATCTCCCAGCTGGCATCGCCATACACATTCATGTAGTGGTTGGATCCAGGGGACAAATATGTCATGCCATCTCGGATATCGTTGGTGGCAGCAAGCCTCAGAGGAATCAAAGACTGGAGACGCATAGAATCGCACCAGCTTTGGCTACTCTAAAAATCTAAATCAGGCTGGGCACCGGCATTGCATGCACATCCTGCATTAAGAAGCAGGACCTATGTATATATAAAGGGTACTTACGAATACTTCATGACGTAATGGGTGAAGTATTCGTAAGTACCAATTATAATTTTGCACCCCTATTTTCGTGCTGCATGGAGTTTATTCAGGGGTTTCATTACTCAAACAAAGTTCTTGCGCTATAAAGTTTGTTGGGCTACATGCTTACTGAACCATTGCGGAGTCAATGATTCAGTAAGGAATATAAGTATAAGTTGGGGATTACATATCCGGAAGAGCTTTGTTTGAGTAATTTTAGGTATACAGCAATGCTGCAGTTCATTGGAAATGCAGTATTGCGTTAATACATTAAACCATGCAGCACGAAGATCAACCTTTGTCTGTGCACACACTGCCCCATCAAACAAGCCCAAAAGTCACAGGTTGACATGAACACCCTATGCAGCGCAGTCAGCAAATCCCAGTGTCCTGTTGCCACGGGCAGCACCAGTGCCCTTCCAGTGTCGTGGACTCGGCACGAAATACTCTTAAGTCTTAGGGTTTACGGCTTAGGGTTTAGGGTTAAGGTTTAGGGGCAAGGTGATGCGAATGGAAACAGCACACTGGGAGGTCGGCAAATGTAGAAGTTGCTGGAACCACTTCTGATCACCAGCCACACCGAAGAACACAAGGCGTCGCATCATATTGTCCAGCGACAAGGACCTTGGTTGCAGTGCTCTGAATTTCCGGGTGCACTTTGGGTTCATTCCACATGAACAACAAAATGAATGCTGCCTGGTTCACACTTTTGATAAGTCATCGCTTATATGCTTCATCAGCACATCCAACGTAGCTGGAAATCCCGTTCCCAATTTTTTCTTCTTCATGGCACGTGTCAACACCAAAGGCCCTGGAAGCACACCTGAGCAACTCTAGCGTGCACGCACTTAGTATGCCCTAGGCAGACACAAAACATCACGACGAGTGTAATTGCATGCACAGGGCACAGAGGGCCAACCTCGTGAGAAGGGTATCCTTGTAGCTTCATACCAGGGCATAGGCAAACAAAAAAACACAAAACACTTGCATTTTCACTCAGTCAAGGAACACCGGAATGGGAGAAAGGGAAGGAGATATTGATCACCAACACGTTCTTCCCTTTCAAACCTGGCCCTTCGTCACCATGGAGTCTGCAAGGCAAATCGCCCGGCCCTGTGGTCGTTGTGGGGTCGTGAAAAAAACAACTAGTGGACAACATGTAAAGATGGACAAGGTCCCATAAGCCTCCATCGTATGAGAGCACTGGACTGTTCCGCAGAGCCGTCCACAACCTCACATGCGCGCAGACACACACACACACATGCATGTAGAAACAAGCCTATAAGGCGCACGTAGAACGAGATAGATTTGGGGAACTACTTATTAAAGTCATCAGGGATATATTGTTGTCCAATTCTGATTGAAACCACTGTCACTAGAAAGTGCCCTGAACATAGTCTGTGCACACCCATGCATGATTCATAGGCCAGGCAACTGTTCACGTTGCAATTGAGTTGAATCTCCAAAACAAATTGCCTTCAACAACCAGGGTCGTCGCTCCAGCCATTTGAAGTAATCACTCGGAAGTATGACACCTCACAGGCAGATTATCTCTCTCTCTTTCTCTGTCGCTCTCTCTCCCTCTCCCTAAACCCCAAACCGTAAATCCTAAATCCTAAACCCTAAATCCTAAACTCTAAACCCTGAATCCTAAATCCTAAACCCTACCCTTAAAAAAAAAGCCGAATGGCCGAAAACCGGTATATGAGAACTTGTGATGTGTGCCCCTATAGCAGTTCAAGCTATGCCGAAAATGACAAAACAGGATGGGCCATGAAGTACAAAACTCTTGGACACAAGTGGATCTAACTGCAAAAGAGCCACTACATTTCTTGAAGGCCACCTTCCTCTTCTGTCGTGACAATACGACAGG